ATACTCTGTAATTCAGTGAAAGGGTGGAGTCAGAGTAAAAGAGTATGCACACCCATGAGAGTGGCTGGAAGTTGGATTGGATTTTGCTGTCATTCAGCTCGCTTTTGAATGGGAAGGGCCATTTTGTATGGAAGCGAGACAATTTCATTCAGCAGCCCCATAGAATGTTTGGGAAATAATTTACAGACTGATTGAAATATCCAAAATAATATTAACAGAAACTCCACTTAAAAAATTAATTCTTACATATTTTAGAAAAAGAAAAACAAAACCAAAGCAAAATGCAGTTCAAGGAAAGTCACAAAAAGGACAAAAGAGAGATGAGGAATGGCAAAAAGCAGACACAGCAGAAAGTGAGAGGAGGACATAGATGACTACAGGTTAATAAGGAGGATCAGAGTATAAAAAGGAAAGCAGCCTTAAACCTACAGTACAGCTTTGAACTCGAGGGTCAGAGCTGCTGTGATGTGCTGCTAATTTAGCTTTTAAACCAGGGTTCCTCAGTTCCCGTCCTTGAATTCCGTTGTCCTGCAACTTTTAGATGCTTCTCTGCTTCAACACAGCTCAGATCATCAGCAGGATTCTGAAGAACTTGCCTTTATGCTGAGAAGGCGATTCAGCCATTTGATTCATGTGTTTGAAAGCAGAGACACACCTGGAAAGGTGCAAGACACCGGCCCTACATACTGTTAGTGATATTGAGGAATCCTGCAATAAACTGCTGCATGTTTTATTGATCTACTTTTGGTCAAAATTCTACCCTTCTCTGCATTTTCCTGAAAAAAAAAAACAATCTAAATTTATTTCATTTGTCAGACTATTTTACTCTGATGCCCTTTTAACCAAGACCTGCCTGCCGCAGACATAGATAACTCAGGTAGGAGAAGCTGCTGATAAGCTCTGCAATTCACAAACTCTGCTTTTACAAAAACATTGCAAGCCATCTATAAGGAGATGCAATTAAACTTAAACTTTTTGGATCATATGATAAACACTCAGGGGGTAACACCAACACTGCAAATCACTGCTTTTGACAGAGAGCAGGTTGTTAATT